AGATAGATAGATAGATAGATAGATAGATAGATAGATAGATAGATAGACAGAGGCAACTGACTAAGACTGGACTCAGATTGGGAGCTGATATGATACCGAGTGGGCTTGGGGAAGCAGGGTCCCCTGTCCTGGCAGACTCCCCCTCTACCAGATGTTCTCCCTGACTGCTGAGCCAATAGGAATGAGGGGAGCTCAGGGGAGGATCGTGGAGCTCTAGCTTTAGGCTGAACTTCTGGTCCGAGCACAGCTTTAATATACACATCCTTCCAGACAGGAGGACATCACCAGTGCCAATTATTCTTGGAGCAAAGCATCTGAACAAATGTTTAATACTTAATGACTCCATAAGGTGACACTGTGAAGCACCTGGTAAAGCGGCCTGAATGGAAATGTCTCCAAGACTCACACTATAAAATAATCAATATTTAAAGGCTTAGAAAGTTTGAAAGAACACCTATGGGACCACAAGCATTTCATGGTTCACAGTCAACTCACCTAGATATAGCCGAGCTACTTCGAGAATCCCCATCAGAAGCAAGAGAACCAGATCCAGGACCAGACAGTTAAAAGGATAACTGAAAACCTGACCTAGGAACACACACAGAGCCAGAACTCAGATAAGTGTATCAGGGGCACAATTCCTTTGAAGGGTCCGGCACTCGTAACTTACTTTTATATATAATCATCAGGAACGTAGCTAGGAAGTACAGGGCATAGTACAGCCCACTGAGGTGAAACAGCATCTGAAGAGGAACTGACGAGAGCTGGCGAGTAATCAAGGATCCTCAAGCTCACCAATGAGGTACAACTACTCAGGTGGCCAACAAAGGGGCCTATCCTGCCACCCATAGCTGCAGATCAGCAGGTTTGGGTAATTCCAACAGGGTACCTACAGATGGTCATTGACTCCAGCCGCTGGTTCCTGCCTACCTGGGGCTTCTACTGCTACCTGGGCTCCTGGAGTGCTCACCTGAGGGCACCTAGTGGTCACTGGAGTGATGCTGGATCCCTCCCAACCTGGTAGCGCATGGCCTAAGTAACCCGGTCCTCAGCAGATGCAGGCAGGACAGGGGGATTTCTTCATCCTGATTCATATCGTGAGTTACAAAGAGGACTCTTTTCATTTTCTTTAGAGAAAATGTATTACTTGGCCATTCAAAGTAAGGGGTTTTTGCCTCCTGCCATGTAGGTTTGGTTGGTGGCAGGAAAGAGGTCATCCCCAGACCTATGAAGGGGAAGAGGGCTGAGCTGGTGGGTGACAGAGCCAGCACACCAGGAAACACCTCTCCTTCTTACAAGTTACTAGTCAGAATTTAACAAAAAAACAAACAAACAAACAAAAAATGGGGCAGGGGTCATGAAAGACAAAAAGGCAGAGAGCTGAGGGTGCCAGGCCAGCTAATCAGCGTGGTGCTGCCCTAAAGGGGCTATGCTTGGTCTTGGGAAGCAGCAGCAGGATACCACCTTGCAGGAGCCTCTCCCTGGAAGACAAAGGACGACCAGTAAGACATTGACAGCAACGTCGCAGGCATTTAGTTCTCTGATTCCATGTTTATAGATGGACGTGAACGATGGCCACAGTTAGGTTCTGCAATCACCTCTGCATCTCTCCCTCCTAGGACGCTGCTTTCTGGTGGAATTTGATTTGTGTCCCCAAGACAGCTGTCTGGAGGGTGTACTTTTTAAACCATCCATGTAACTCTGCAGCCTCTTAGAACATCTCATGCTCTGTGCAGGTGTGAGCCTTCCTCGGCCTGTGAGAGTCAGCGCCAGGGTGTAATAGAACTTCCCCTGCGACTCTGAGTCTGAAGTTTTGTACATGAAAATCTGCCTGGCCTATCCCTAGATGGAATGTGACCTGGGTCAGGCTGCACGCTCATGCCGTGCACGTCTCTGCATGTGAATGCATACCATAAAATCTCCGAATTTGGCCAAAAACGCCTATAAAAAGAGGCTGCCTTCTGAGCACTCTAGAGCAGCACCTGAACCCAAGGTGTGTTCATCTTCTGCTCCGTCCCCTGTGCTCCCTGGGGTTGCAGCAGAAAAGGAAGTGGTGCCTTGGTGAGATTCTGTGGGTCACTCGACTTCGAAGGCCGCTTGAAGCTGTCTACTCTGGAGATGTGGGCTCTTGCATGGGCGAGTCATAAACTGGTAAACACAGGACATTAGTAACAGCCTTTGGACAGCCTCCTAGCAGGCACACGTGTGGGAGCAGGAAGCCAAGTGTGACTGGAGTGGCATCAAGTTTCCACAGGGTGCGCTAGGAAACACGATCTGTTCTTTTCCAGGCCCAGCTAAACTAGGCTACCTAGATACCTGTCACTATTTGGGTTGGCTTTACATTAATTGGGAGTTTCTTCTCTTTGAATCCTTTTCCTTTTCCTTCTCTCTTTCTTTTCTTTTTTTTTTAGACATAGTTTGTAGCTTTGGAGCCTGTCCTGGCACTTACTTTGTAGACCTTTGTAGGCTGGCCTTGAACTCACGGAAATCCATCTGCCTCTGCCTCCCAAGGGCTGTGATTAAGGTTGTGTACCACAACCACCTAGTGAATCCTTTTTCAATTTTTTAAATTTTCCCCTTTCCTCTAGGTATGTCTGTGCACCCCATGCATAAAGTGCCAGCAAAAGTGAGAAGAGTGTGTCAGATCCCCTGGGACTGGAGTTACAGATGGCTGTGACTTGCCATGTGTGTTCTGGGAATCAAACCTGAGTCCTCTGGAAGAGCAGCCAGAGCTCTTAACAACTGAGTCATCGCTTCAGCCTCCCTTTGGATCCTTTTATAACACTTAGTATCAGGACTCTAGGGTGTATGTCCTAGTAACAGGACTTGTCTAGCATGTAAAAGACCTGGGTCTCATCCCCAATATCCCCTAGAAAGTGCCAGGATCATTTAAATTGTATCTGCTGGCTGTTCATTGCTAAAGATTGAAATTGTGAGACTTGGGGGAAAAATATTGTATTTTTACAGTATGGTTTAGCTGGTAAAAGCACATATTGCCCTTGCTAAGACCCAAATTTGGTTCCCAGCACCCATATCAGGCAGCCACAAATGTCTATAACTTCAGGTCCAGGAAATCTAATGCCTTCTTCTGGCATCTGTGGGCACCTTGCACTCAAGTGCTTCCTTCCACATACATATAATGAAACATTAAAAAAAAATACCGTATAAAACCCTCAAATGGCACTGAGCAGTGGTGGTGCATGCCTTTAATCCCAGCACTCAGAGGCAGAGGCTGGTGGATCTCCGTGAGTTCGAGGCCAGCCTGGTCTACAGAGTGAGTTCCTAGACAGACTCCAAAGCTGCTCAGAGAAACCTTGTCTCAAAAAACCAAAACCAAACCAAAACAACAACAAAAACAAGTGAATAAAAAAAACCACACCCTCAAATAGCATATTTACTTATTTTCTTAGACAGGGTCTCACTACGTGGCCTGGCTTTCCCAGAACTCACTACGTAGACCAGGCTGGCCTTGAACTCACAGAGATCTATTTGCCTCTGCCTCCTGAGTGCTTGAATTAAAGGCATGCTCCACTACACCAAGCTTAAATAGCATTTTAAAATAACTTATTTAATTAATTAAAATAACTCTAACACATTCAAACCTACAGGAGTTCATCTGTCTAGCTTCTGGGACTTAACACTGTTCTTTATCAATGATTTTTAATAATCGCTGTGCAGCTAGCTACCAACAGACGCAAGGCAGAAGTTCACTGTGCAACACATGTTTTCTTGGTGTGACAAAGGCTACACATCCCTCTTCTGGTAGGGTTTTTTTTTTTTCTTTTCTGGAGACATGGTCTCCTATGTAGCTCAGGCTGGCCTAGAATTTGAACTCCTGACTCAGTCTCCCAAGTGCTGGGATTATACTTTTTTTTTTTTTTTTTTAATTTGAGACAGGGCGTCACTATGTGGCTCTGACCTGCCGGTCTGGAACTCACAGCCATCTTCCTGACTCAGTCTCTCACACTGCTGCATTAGTGGAGTGGGCCAACAACCCAGCCTGGTAACTGGGCCTTTTATGTGACTTAATTCCAAGATGGCTTTCTCACCCAGGACTTACTTTTTACCATAAACAAGTACACAAGAATAGCACTTCCAAGTCTGTGGCAGATATTACACAGAGCCGCATGGCAGTAAGTGCCAGGCAGTCTAGGCTGCATGTGTAGTACAATCACATTTCTGAAATTTGTCCCCTTGAGGAACATTTGGGAGGATGGATGGATGGACGGACAGGCACAGGTCTGAGTTGGCTGTGACTAGCTTCTGACCCACACTGCTGGCACCTGGCCCTGTCTGCCCACACATCATCTGGGCCCAGACCGAGGATACTCATTGGGCTTGGGACTCTGACATGTGAAATGTGAGCTATAGCAGCTCTGGCTGCCCAGAACTCAAGCAAGCCATGGGGGCATGAATGTGTGTGTGTGTGTGTGTGTGTGTGTGTGTGTGTGTGTGTGTGTGTACAGGTGTGCATTCATGCAGGGTAAGCTGACATTATGCCATGGTTGTGTCTGTTGTGTACTGGGTATGCTAGAGGTGTACCTCAGGTATGCCATGGATGGACAGGGTGTTAGAAATATTTTTAAGACAAGCCTCCCTGGGAAAGGGTCAGCACTTGGCAGGTTTTCCCGGAGGTGGAGTCTGGACCAAGGCAACTCCCAGGGGAGGGGCTTCCAAAGATGTATGCCAGGGTTAGAATGAGGCCCCCAACCTAATATTACACCAGGGAGAACTAGGGATGTGCTTGGGGTGAGCTGAATGTAAGCTATGAATATCTTGAGTATGTCTCAGCACAAGAGGCATGCCGTGAATAAATGTGCGGTGACTTGCCGGTGTGCCACAGTGTATCCCAGGGCAAACACCAGGTGTGTCATGGCTGTACCTGGTAAAAGAATCTTACCAAAAGCCAAGGCCCTGAAACTTAGCTCAGAGTTCCAGGAAGTCAGCTCTCTGGGCAGAAGAAAAGCAGCTGACTGACACCAGACACGCAACACGTGGAGTCCAGAAGAAAAGCAGTTGAGTCCTACCTGAAACACTCCATGGTTGCAAAAAGAGACAGCAGACCCTGAAGTTCCAAAACCGGTTTCTCTAGGGAAAACAGTTAACTTACCCATTATACACTTACCAAGCATCCCTTCCCTACCTAACCTTAGCTACAAAAACCCAGCCGAAAGTATGTAATATGTTGTCTTGAACTCTGGTCATTGAGTGATTGGATCCCGTGCCCTGACCACCACGTGGCCAGAACTTGAGAGCCATGTCTCTGGCGCAAGCTGTTGGAGGTAGTCTAAATCATCACCTTTTACTTCTTCCCACAAACTTAATTCCGACTTATCCTTATACCTGGGGTGAGCTGCAGCTATGCCAGGGGTGAGCTGAAAATGTGTTATGGTTCTGTCCCGGGTAACCTCAGTATCCTAGTCCGGCGTGCCAAGGATGTTGCGTCTGGTGAGAAACGGGGTGTGTCAAGGGTGTACACGGGGTGAGCAGCGGGTGTGCTCAGGATGAGCCGCAGGTATGCCATGCATGTCAACTTTAGTGACCTATGGTTGTTTCGGTGTGCGACGGTAGTGTACCCTGGGTGAACCTCCGGTGGGTGCACAGAAGGTGTTATAGGTTGTATATGGGGTCCCCCAGCGTGTACCTCAGGTATGTCACTGGTACGTCCGACGAGCTTCAGGGAAGCCACCGGCTCCCTGAAGCCCCACGCCCACACCCAACCGGAAGACATGCCCCTCCCCCCTAACTCCACCGCAGAAATCTGGAGTAGTGGGCTTCAGTCATCAGGGCCCAGAATGGCGAGGTGACAATTAAGCGAGTTGCAGCGCCAGACCAAATGGCCTCTCATCGCGACAGCACGATCACACTATCCCGGCGCCAGCATAGCCCCGCCCGCCTCACCTGGCCGCATGGCCGCCATTTTGCCGCTGGGTCCGCCACAATCCCAGCAGCCTCTTGGCCGCACCCTCCCGCCATCTTCGCTCCTCCCTCCCCGCGGTGCTGCGGGCGTCCGACCGCTGCCGAGGCCCGATTCTCCCGTCCGGCAACACTCGGGAGTTTTCGGACAGGAGGAGGCGGGCACTGAGGCTCCGGAGAACTCTGCTCGGAGACATTCGGCGGAGTTCGGCTAGGCCTCGTGTGAGCTCGGCTTCCGCCGCCTCCAGAGGGGGTTGGAAAAATCGAGTGGCGCCAGGGTCGGTCGGCGAAGTCAGACTTCGTTGGAAGCCGGCGAGATACTACACAGAGCCGACTAGCCCTATCAGCCGGTGACCACAATCAGACTAGCCTCCTAGGCTGCGAGGAAGAAACGCTCGTGAGCTTTCGTGAAGCTTCGGAACCATTCGTACTGACTCGACTTTTCACTTCGGGAAACTTCGGAGCTTCTCGGTACTACACTCGGGACATCGTCCCTGCTCGGCGGGCGACTTCGGCTCGGCTCGGCGGGCGTCAGACGGCCTCTTCGGTCGCTGCTCGGGCGGTGGCTTCGGGCGGCCTCGGCCCAACTCGGGCGGCCTCT